GTTTGTTCTGTTTCACAGACCTCCTCAGAGCATGAAAGGTGTGAGGTGAAATGGAACACATGCAAACAATTCAAATTGCTCAAATGTACCCAAAAGGCTGTTATCAAGAGTAAACATTTCACATTGTGGGGTTTTTGTAGTGCGTGCCAGGTACACCAGACATTAACTTTGAAGTTGAACTAAATGTGACAGAGAGGTTATGAACCCAGGTTTGTGTGATTGAGTTGAAATGCTGTGGAATACCATCTTTGTCTTCAGACCGTGGGACGTTGTCATCCTCTCTTAGATCATGAGGCTATAGTATAAGTTGACATTACTCTTCCCAGAGGGGATAAAGCCTTTCTGAAGCAGGCAGATGTTCTTCCAGTGGATGACTCAGCAGGGGACAGAGGATGTAAGAAGACGTTGTTCTGCTGCATGATGTTCTGAGAAGGGAAAGAGTAGAGGAGGAGAGACAAGTCTGCTTAGGAGCTTGTTGGCAGTGTGGAGACGTGGAGCTGGGTGACTAAGCAGGCCCAGCTGTCTCCGTCAAATGTGCTCAGTCGCCTGTGCAGCTCAACAGCTGGAGTAGCCAGCACACGACACAGCCTGGACCTGAATCACAGGCTCCGCTTTGAGGCTGGGCCTGCACTAGCTAATGAGCCAGATCATCCATTCCTGGCATGTCTGAAGATGACCAGATATCCTGCGATTGTTGATTGGATATAATTTTCATATAATAAATATAAAGTTACATTTTTAGAGCCAATCTTAGGGAGTCATCTCAGCTTTGGTCCTCACATGTGTCGTTAAACAGTCAAATAATCCCTTACTCTGGAAACATCTTTGCCTCATTTGATAGCCAGTAGCTAGCCAAGAAGCCAACACCCCCAAAGTAAACATACATTTATTTGTTTTAGTGTTTTCTGAAATTAAACATGACAAATGAGGCCAAATGGCATCTAAGCTGAGAAAATATGTTGATGTTTGCAGTGAAATGTTGGTTTTTATACAGTATTAAAAACTGCATCTTACCCGATATATTTACAGCCTACTTCATTTAGTGAACTGCTTTTTTATAATTCAATTTCTCAAGCATGGCCCTGTCTCGTATGTTTTTCTTGAGCGTCTGGCAACATACAGACTGCCTATTGTTATGTTTTTCATACAGGCGTCAATCTTTAGAATGACGTGATACTAGTATTGGCTTATTTTGATTGTCTCTTTTGTCCAGTCTTGAGAGGTTGAGTTATGCTGACCCACAGTGGAAACCCCTATTCCTGTCTGTGTGTGTTGATCCTAATTGGACCGTGGGGTGTGTCACATGATTGGTCCATTAACCCCCAGGGCTCTGATTATTGGCGTTGTGTCCTGTATCCGGCCCTCTACTCCATAGAGCTAAAATTGTCATGTCCGCTTTATTTTTGTGTGACTTTGTAGTCAAAATTTGGCTATCGTTGTTTCGAATTTGGCTTGCTTTCTATAATTAATCTGTTTATACACATTTGATTTATTTAAATCACTTCGGCTGAGTTCCTGTTTGGGGAGTCAGAGATGTAAAGCGTATCGGTAGCCTGGAACCTTGAGTCAGATGGATCAGGAAACATGAGTAGGACTTTATTCTTTGTGTTAGAATTCCTAAGCCTCTAAGGGTTTACTGTAACGGTGTTGATGTTGCACCCTGTTCAGAAATAACATGATGCATATCAAATAGAGTGTTTGGGAGAGGAGTGTTTTCTGTGGGCTGTGTATGAGGCAACTCTAATGTTGTTTGGATAGATATTCCTGCTGGTATACTTATCCTGCTGCTTCTCACTCTGTGGAACTACTGTAATGTAGGCCTACTGTATGTACCTCAGGAAAACAGAGCACTCACACATATTCTCTGCTGCCTGATCTTGTTTATGGCCCTTCTGTGAGTAGTTTATTAATATACACTACTGGTCAAAAGTTTTAGAACACCTACTCATTCAAGGGTTTTTGTAGAATAATAGTGAAGACATCAAAACTATGAAATAACACATATGGAATCATGTAGTAACCAAAAAAGTGTTAAACAAATCAAAATATAGTTTATATTTGAGATTCTTCAAATAGCCACCCTTTGCCTTGATGACCAGCATTCTCTCAACCAGCTTCATGAGGTAGTCACCTGGAATGCATTTCAATTAACAGGTGTGCCTTCTTAAAAATTAATTTGTGGATTCATGCGTTTGAGCCAATCAGTTACATTTTAGTCATTTAGCAGACGCTCTTATCCAGAGCGACTTACAGTTAGTGAGTGCATACATTATTATTTTTTTATTTTTTCATACTGGCCCCCTGTGGGAATCAAACCCACAAACCTGGCGTTGCAAACGCCAACTACCAACTGAGCTACATCCCTGCCGGCCATTCCCTCCCATACCCTGGACCAATTGTGCGCCGCCCCATGGGTCTCCCAGTCGCAGCCGGCTACGACAGAGCCTGGATTCGAACCAGGATCTCTAGTGGCACAGCTAGCACTGCGATGTAGTGCCTTAGACGGGAGACCTAGTTGTGACGGGAGACCTAGTTGTGTTGTGACAAGGTAGGGGGGTATACAGAAGATAGCCCTATTTGGTAAAAGACCAAGTCCATATTATGGCAAGAACAGCTCAAATAAGCAAAGAGAAATGACAGTCCATCCTTACTTTAAGACATGAAGGTCAGTCAATATGGAACATTTCAATAACTTTGAAAGTTTCTTCAAGTGCAGTCGCAAAAACCATCAAGCGCAATGATGAAACTGGCTCTCATGAGGCCCGCCACATGAATGGAAGACCCAGAGTTACCTCTGCTGCAGAGGATAAGTTCATTAGAGTTACCAGCCTCAGAAATTGTAGCCCAAATAAATGCTTCACAGAGTTCAAGTAACAGACACATCTCAACATCAACTGTTCAGAGAAGACTGTGTGAATCAGGCCTTCATGGTCGAATTGCTGCAAAGAAACTACTACTAAAGGACACCATTAATAAGAAGAGACTTGCTTGGGCCAAGAAACACGAGCAATGGACATTAGACCGGTGGAAATGTGTCCTTTGGTCTGGACTCCAAATTGGAGATTGTCTTTGTGAGACGCGTGTGGGTGAAAGGATGATCTCCGCATGTGTATTTCCCACCGTAAGGCATGGAGGAGGAGGTGTTATGGTATGGGGGTGCTTTGCTGACACTGTCTGTGATTTATTTAGAATTCAAGGCACATTTAACCAGCATGGCTACCACAGCATTCTGCAGTGATACGCCATCCCATCTTGTTTGGGCTTAGTGGGACTATCATTTGTTTTCAACAGGACAATGACCCAACACACCTCCAGGCTGTGTAAAGGATATTTTACCAAGAAGGGAGTGATGGAATTCTGCATCAGATGACCTGGCCTCCACAATCCCCCGACCTCAACCAAATTGAGATAGTTTGGGATGAGTCGGACCGCAAAGTAAAGGAAAAGCAGCCAACAAGTGCTCAGCATATGTGGGAACTCCTTCAAGACTGTTGGAAAAACATTCCAGGTGAAGCTGGTTGAGAGAATGCCAAGAGTGTGCAAAGCTGTCATCAAGGCAAAGGGTGGCTATTTGAAGAATCTCAAATATATTTTGATTCGTTGAACACTTTTTTGGTTACTAAATGATTCCATATGTGTTATTTCATAGTTTTGATGTCTTCACTATTATTCTACAATGTAGAAAATAGTAAAAATAAAGAAAAACCCTTGAATGAGTAGGTGTTCTAAAACTTTTGACCGGTGGTGTATATTTTCTTTTTAACACATTCTGAAAGCCTAGCTGCCTTGAGAACCCAGATGACCTTGAATGCCTCCTGTGGTAGAAAATAAAAAAGCAGTGAAATATGGTTTCCAGAATGTGTGTATCCAAGTGTTTTATTGTAATGTAAATCTCACTGACCAGGATTGATAAATTCAAGCCTGATCCCCTCCATCCTCATTTAACTGAGTAAGTGTAGACAAGCCGTAGCCAAAGGGATTACTGGATAATTAAGTTCAGCTGATGTTATTGAAATCTAAGGACAGTCAGATTCAGGGAGGAGACATTCCTAACTACTACGATTAAGAGAAATATATTGATGTTCCATCCTCTATAAACAAGTGGAGGTTTTATTGCCAAGATTAAAACAGGCCCGAAAGACAGGGGTTGTGTTTAGTCATAGGTGGTGATAATATTGTATATAGCAATGAGAGGACCCAATATACTGTATGTCAATCCAGAGAGAAGGTTATGAGCTGTTGTGTAATTGTTACCTTGTATTGAACTTATTGTCCCAGTTTTTCATGAAAGCTAAAAATGACTTATTTCAAAACAGAGCTTAATGTAATTCAATATTAGTACCAATAGTTGATCTACTTTGATACTACTATCCAAAGCAATGTGTGCCCATTTCAAACAGGGCAAAGGAGTTTTTAATAACCCTTTTTGGTTATTGTGTAGAGCTCAAGCCAAGTTGTTAACGGATTGTTAACTTCAGCCCATGTAAACAAACGATGTATTCTAAAGTAATGTTAGGTAATTGTGCTCACGTACGTAATACTATACTGCACCTCTCAAGTTTTGGATTTACAACCTGTTAACAATGCCTTATAAATGTTATGAACCTTGTTTTATTACAGTACAAACTCACCTTTTACAAACATCTTGTTCATATGCGTAGGCTACAACAAGTCGTTGTGAACACAAATTGATCCTACCCAAGGTTATATGACAAGCAATTATCTTCTGTGGGCTTCAGATTCATTATTGAAACTGTAGGACAACAAAAACATCAATCATTTGGCCACATTCATCTGCTAATTATATTCAACATGTCAGAGTGCAATTTATATGAAAAGGCCTCATCAGAGAACATTGAGCAAGCCACCTATCCTCTGCTGTCGGGACACACATTCAATAACAACAATCATGTAACCACTTATTTCGCTCTCTCTCTCTCTCTCTCTCTCTCTCTCTCTCTCTCTCTCTCTCTCTCTCTCTCTCTCTCTCTCTCTCTCAGTTAGCAGCTCCAGCCTTGCTCTATTGGACAAATCCCTGGAGGAGAACTTCATGTTCCCCCATCACTTGAGCCCTGAGGACGAGAGCCAAAGTAAGACTATTCACTTAGACACAACCACAGCTAGCTGTTTGTCATTAGCAGACCTGGAGAATAAATCATTATTGACTTATTGACATTATTGATGCAATTACATAGAATACTCTCCCATATCGTTAGTTAAATATTCAAAGTGTGTATGGAACCCAACTTGTTTAGGTTCAGGTGTCTGTCGCTATTCATTGTTTTGCCTTCTAGGGCTGCCGTTTCTCTTAGGTAGTAGTATGTGTGGTCTGCAGAGAGTGAATTAAAACCATTGAAAGCACTAATCTAATACAGTGTTTGTCACAGCTTTTACAACATTGTAATGTGTTCATTTTGATTTGCAGCAACATCTCTAAATATAAAATGTGACACAGTCTGAAGTCAAAAGCGTTGCGTTGTCAGTCTTGTTCGTTCATTAAATGAAGACCGTCTTGAAATTTTGTTTCACACAAAAAGCCTCATCTACATTGTTTATTCACGACAAAGGCATGCGTGTATTTATAGTAACCCATCAAACTGCATTGCAATCAAATTGATTTAAATACATTTTCCACCTAACCACTTCCATTGGGATATTTCTGCCTCCCAGAGGAGAGGGACGGCTTTCTTATTAGTGGTTTCACTCCTTCAGGACCCTCACATGACTCCCTCCACATTCACTTGATTAGATTGGGATTGTTAGATTCCCCATGCCAGTTATGGAGCCCCTAAAAATGTATATTTTCCTCTTCCAGACTGACATTCCCTGGTCTTCTGCTTATAATGGAGTTGTTTCAATGTCTGATCATTCACAAATGACTAGTTTGGCTTCATCAGACACCAAGCAGCGTTCTTGAATTGTCTTGTTGGTGTCTTATTGGAGAGATGCTAGATATCTCCTGACTACACTTTGGGTAAGTTCAAGCGCAAATGGAATTAGTCTGAAATGGACAATAACACTAAGCAGGGTTTCTAAGGTCATTTTAGTAAAGTCTGGTTGATGAGAAGAAACTGTACTGAATATGTACTGACATGAGTAATTTGTGCGTAATTGTCTGAGTGTAGTAGACTCCAGACACCCAAGTCATAGTTCTCTCTGCTACCGCATGCCAAGCAGTACCGATGCACCAAGTCTGGAACCAACAGGACCCTGAACAGCTTCTACCCCAAGCCATAAGACTGCTAAAGAGTTTGTTAAATAGTTACCCAATAGCTACCCGGACTATCTGCATTGACCCTTTTTGCACAACTCTTTTGACTCATCACATACGCTGCTGCTACTGTTTATAACCTCTCCTGTTGCCTAGTCGCTTTATTCCTAATTATATGTACATATCTACCTGCTCAGCTGGTAGAGCACGGCGCTTGTAACGCCAAGGTAGTGGGTTCGATCCCCGGGACCACCCATACACAAAAATGTATGCACGCATGACTGTAAGTCGCTTTGGATAAAAGCGTCTGCTAAATGGCATATTATATTATTATATTACCTCAATTACCTCGTACCCCTGCACATCGACTCGGTATATAGCTAAATTATCGTTACTCATTGTGTATTTATTCCTCATGTAAAAATTTTCTCTCTGCATTGTTGGGAAGGGCCCATAAGTAAGTATTCCACTGTTAGTCTACACCTGTTGTTTACAAATCGTGTGACAATGTCAGGGTTGAGTGTAGAGGTAGTATGGAATCAGGCGCAGGACACACAGAGGTTTCGAACAGACGTCTTTAGTGAAGTCCAAAGAACAAGCCACACACGGCAACAGGCAACAGGCGAACTTTACGCAACACGGTAAAGTAAACATAAGGCGCACAAAGTGCGGAACTCTCTCTCAAAATACAAAATACAGAGGGAACTGAAAAATGGACTAGCACACAATGTGACAATAAACAATTACACACAACACCTGACCAAACTCAGAGAACTAAATAGGACGCATAATGAACACTAATAAGGAACAGGTGTAACAAAACAGACAAAACCAATCAAACATAGAAACATCGAACGGTGGCAGCTAGTACTCCGGAGACGACGACTGCCGAAGCCTGCCCGAACAAGGAGAAGGAGCAGCCTCGGCTGAAACCGTGACAGTACCCCCCCCTTGACGCGCGGCTCCAGCCGTGCGCCGACCCCGGCCTCGGGGACGACCAGGAAGACGCGGAGCAGGGCGCGTGGGATGACCACGATGGAACTCGGTCAGAAGAGACGGGTCTAGGATGTCCCTCCTCGGCACCCAGCACCGCTCCTCCGGGCCGTACCCCTCCCACTCCACGAGATATTGGAGACCCCCCATCCGGCGTCTCGAATCTAGGATGGACCGAACAGTGTACGCTGGAGCCCCCTCGATGTCCAACGGGGGCAGAGGAGTCTCTTCTATCTCATAGTCCTGGAGTGGACCAGCTACCACCGGCCTGAGGAGAGACACATGGAACGAGGGGTTAATATTCTTGTAATCAATGGGCAGTTGTAACCTGTAACACACCTCGTTCAATCTCCTCAGGACTTTAAAAGGCCCCACAAACCGCCGACCCAGCTTCCGGCAGGGCAGGCGGAGGGGCAGGTTTCTGGTCGAGAGCCAGACTCGATCTCCAGGTGCGTACACTGGCCCCTCACTGCGGTGGAGATCGGCGCTCGTCTTATGTCGACGGATGGCTTGCTGCAGATGGATGTGTGCAGCGTTCCACGTCTCCTCCGAGCGCCGCACCCACTCATCCACCGCAGGGGCCTCGATCTGGCTCTCATGCCAAGGTGCCAGAACCGGCTGGTACCCTAACACACACTGGAAAGGGGTTAGTTTAGTGGAGGAGTGGCGGAGAGAGTTCTGTGCCATCTCGGCCCAGGGAACATATCTCGCCCACTCCTCCGGCCGGCCCTGGCAATACGACCTCAGAAACCTACCCACATCCTGGTTGACACGTTCGACCTGCCCATTACTCTCCGGGTGGTAACCCGAGGTAAGGCTCACCGAAACCCCCAACCGTTCCATAAACGCTCTCCAGACTCTGGAGGTAAACTGGGGGCCTCGATCAGACACTATATCCTCGGGTACCCCGTAATGCCGGAAGACGTGGGTAAATAGAGCCTCAGCGGTCTGTAGGGCAGTAGGAAGACCCGGCATGGGAAGGAGACGACAGGCCTTCGAGAACCGATCCACAACGACCAGGATGGTGGTATTCCCCTGGGAGGGGGGAAGGTCTGTAACAAAATCCACCGAAAGGTGAGACCAGGGTCGTTGTAGAACGGGCAGGGGTTGTAACTTACCCCTGGGCAAGTGTCTGGGCGCCTTACACTGGGCACACACCGAACAGGAGGAGACATAAATCCTCACATCCCTGGCTAACGTTGGCCACCAGTACTTTGTGCTAAGGCAGTGCACTGTCCGGCCAATTCCTGGATGCCCAGAGGAGGGTGACGTGTGAGCCCAATAAATGAGTCGATCCCGGACCTCGAGCGGGACGTACGTCCGACCCACCGGACACTGTGGAGGGCTAGGGTCGGTGCGCAACGCCCGCTCGATACCGGCTTCAGACGCGTCCACCTCCACTTGGAATGGTAAAGCGGGATCCGGGTGCGCCAGCACCGGAGCCGAGGTAAACAGGTCCTTCAGTTTCCCAAAAGCCCTGTCCGCCTCAGCTGACCACCGCAAGCGCACCGGACCCCCCTTCAGAAGGGACGTTATGGGAGCTGCCACCTGTCCAAAACCCCGGATAAACCTCCGGTATTAATTCGCAAAACCCAAGAACTGCTGCACCTCTTTAACCGTGGTTGGGGTTTGCCAATTACGCACGGCTGACACACGGTCAACCTCCATCTTCACCCCTGACGCAGACAACTGATAACCCAAAAAGGAGACCGACTCCTCGAAGAACAGACATTTCTCTGCCTTGACATACAGGTCATGCTCCAACAGCCTCCTCAACACTCGGCGCACCAGGGCTACATGCTCGGCTCGGGTAGAACTGTACACCAGAATATCGTCTATGTACACGACTACTCCCTGCCCCTGCATGTCCCGGAAAATCTCATCTACAAAGGATTGGAAGACTGATGGAGCATTCATTAACCCGTATGGCATGACGAGATACTCGTAATGACCGGAGGTAGTACTAAATGCTGTCTTCCATTCATCGCCCTCTCTAATGCGCACCAAGTTATATGCGCTCCTGAGGTCCAATTTTGTGAAGAACCGTGCCCCGTGTAATGACTCCGTCATAGTCGCAATCAGAGGGAGTGGATAACTATATTTCACAGTAATCTGATTGAGACCGCGGTAATCAATACACGGGCGCAAACCTCCATCCTTTTTCTTCACAAAAAAGAAGCTTGAGGACGCGGGCGAAGTGGAGGGCCGTATGTATCCCTGTCTCAGAGACTCGGCAATGTATGTCTCCATTGCCCTCTTCTCCTCTTGTGACAAAGGATACACATGGCTCCGCGGGAGCGCAGCTCCTGCCTGGAGGTCTATCGCACAATCCCCCTGTCTATGAGGCGGCAACCGCGCCGCTCTAGTCTTGCTAAACACGAGGGCCAAATCCTCATACTCGGGGGGAATGTGCAGTGCGGGCATTTGGTTCGGACTCTCCACCGAGGTCGCCCCTACGGAAACACCCAGACATAGCCCCTCACACTGAGCAGACCACCCCTTAAGAGCCCTCTCTCGCCACGAAATAGTAGGATCATGTGTAATCAACCAGGGAAGCCCCAGTACCACCGGATACACAGGAGAGTCGATCAGATAGAGCTGAATCGTCTCCTCATGACCCCCCTGCGTCTCCATCCTAAGTGGCACTGTGACCTCCCTAATCAACCCGGATCCTAACGGACGGCTATCTAGGGCATGTACCGGGAAAGGATTATTTACCGGAAGGAGAGGGATCCCTAACTCTACACTGAATTTACGATCTACAAAATTCCCAGCTGCGCCTGAATCTACTAGCGCCTTATGCTGGGAACGAGTTGCAACCTGTGGAAAACAAACAGGTATAGTTATGTGAACGACAGAAAGCTCTGGGTAAGTGGGGCGCCTACTCACCTGGGAGGACTGCCCAATGTGTGGCCTGCCTTCTCTTCCACCAGGAGACCCTCCCCAGCACCTAGCCGCGGTGTGCCCTCCACGGCCACAGTTGGTGTAGGGGACGGCCCCCCTCAGGCTCCTTCTCCTCCGTTCTCTAGCGCCAGCACCTCCAAGCTCCATAGGGCTAGGCTCGGAGGTGCTGGAGGGTGGAATGGGCGACCCCCACCCGGGACGTCCACGGGTGGCGAGCAGGGTGTCCAGCCGAATGGCCATGTCAACCAATTGGTCAAAAGAAAGCGTGGTATCCCTGCACGCCAACTCTCTCTGGACGTCCTCCCGGAGGCTGCAGCGGAAGTGATCTATGAGAGCCCGCTCATTCCACCCTGCATCTGCCGCTAGAGTCCGGAACTCCAGAGCAAACTCCTGAGTGCTCCTCATCCCCTGCCGGAGGTAGAATAGACGCTCCCCCGCCGCCTTCCCCTCTGGTGGATGGTCAAAAACTGCACGGAAGCGGCGGGAGAACTCCGCATAGGTGATAGTAGCGGCGTCTATTCTCCTCCATTCGGCGTTGGCCCACTCCAACGCCTTGCCGGTGAGACAGGAGATGAGGGCGGAGACGCTCTCGTGTCCCGAGGGCGCCGGGTGTACGGTGGCGAGGTAGAGTTCAACTTGCAGCAGGAACCCTTGACACCCGGCAGCGGTGCCGTCGTACGCCCTCGGGAGCGAGAGCCGAATCCCACTGGGTTCCGGAAGTTGGACAGGCGGACTGACTGATGGTGTGGTAGGTGGGGTCGTGGGTACCCCGCTGGTCTCCCATCGATGGAGGGTGTTCATAACTCTATCCAGAGCGTGTCCGATTTGATTAATCCTGTCCTCCTGTCCACGAAGACGCTCCTCGATGATTTCACTGGGTGCGGTTGCTCCTGCTGATTCCATTGAATCGGTGTGTAATTCTGTCAGGGTTGAGTGTAGAGGTAGTGTGGAATCAGGCGCAGGACACACAGAGGTTTCGAACAGACGTCTTTAGTGAAGTCCAAAGAACAAGCCACACACGGCAACAGGCAACAGGCGAACTTTACGCAACACGGTAAAGTAAACACAAGGCGCACAAAGTGCGGAACTCTCTCTCAAAATACAAAATACAGAGGGAACTGAAAAACGGACTAGCACACAACGTGACAATAAACAATTACACACAACACCTGACCAAACTCAGAGAACTAAATAGGACGCATAATGAACACTAATGAGGAACAGGTGTAACAAAACAGACAAACCAATCAAACATAGGAACATCGAACGGTGGCAGCTAGTACTCCGGAGACGACGACCGCCGAAGCCTGCCCGAACAAGGAGAAGGAGCAGCCTCGGCCGAAACCGTGACAGACAAATACACATTTATTTTATTTTATTTTGATATTTAATGATGGCCTTTTGTTAAGGCTCAGAGATGCTTTATAAAAGGTTTTCAATGTCAAACTAAATATACATTTTCTACTGAATATGCTGTATCTGGTTTGGTATTTGCTGTTCTTGGAGATAGTCTGCTTATTGTCATTATCAGAGTCTGGTAAATGTACTCTTAGATAATGCATGTCAGAGAGCTCCTTTGGTATGAGTGGAAAGTGTCAGTGACCCCTGTGAGGCTACCAATTATGTGGATCACTCTGCATTGCTTGTCTGAATATGTTCAGAATTATAGTAGAAACAGTAATGCCCACAAACTGTGGTAACTGTACTGAGGATGTGTCAGCAATCATGAGATTATCTCTCCGTTCTATGCTGTCCTTGAAGATGAAGTCTATACTGTAGCTAATTTACTGTAACCATTTCAAATGACAATTGCCGGGAGATTTGGTTAATTTCTGCTAATTTCACCCATGGGCATTTTGAGTTTCTAAGGAACTATTGGTGGAGTGGAGTACACATTTAAGGAGTTGTGATCTCATCATAATTCTGAAGCAGGCTGCCATGTTGGCCTAAATTGGCATCAGATAAGGATAATTATTTCCATGTGTTTCTGTCAAAGTGGGTTATGTCTCCATTTCATTCATTTGTATAAATACTGTCAACTCATTTGATTACAAATCTATTTCAGATGGAGTGTCCCTCTTGAATTCCATGTTGACATGAATTTATTTATTTATTTAACCTTTATTTAACTAGGCAAGTCAGTTAAGAACAAATTCTTATTTACAATGACGGCCTACACCGGCCAAACCCGGACGACGCTGGGCCAATTGTGCGCCGCCCTATGGAACTCCCAATCACGGCCGGTTGTGATACAGCCTGGAATCGAACCAGGGGGTCTGTAGTGACGCCTCAAGCACTGAGATGTAGTGCCTTAGACCACTGCGCCACTCAGGAATGAATACAGTACAATAGAAATGGTATCATACAGTTACAGTGGCCAGTGTTTAGCAAGAATGTGTGACAGGTCCACAGAGTCAGTATCAGATCTAATTAAACTGTTATGGCTATGGTTCAACCCAGCACTCAGAGAAACCAACACGACAAAGGGAGTGGAAGAAACAAAAATGTTTTAATAAAAGTTCAAATTGTCTTAGTCCAAAAACAACTGGAGTAAAGGAACAGAGTGGGCTAGTCGGCTCCGGAGGAAGGAGAGGCTGAGGCAGGCAGGCAGGCAGGCAGGCAGGCAGGCAGGCAGACCGACAGGCAGGAAGGCAGGCAGGTTGGGAGGTATGGCTGAACTGAAGACAAAACAAACGACAGGTTAAGGAGAGTGGAGAGCCAGGCTGAAGACAAAGACAAAATAACTTTACTGGTGAGCCAAGTTACCGCTCTGGTAAGAACAACGATCTGGCGCCGGTGGAGAGCCATGCCCAGGAATAAGTAGTGCAGGTTGATGAGAGAATAGGATGCAGCTGCGTAGGCAGGAATCACTGGAAACAACCCGCAGCTGCACAGGAGAGGCAGATCCTGAGCACGCCCCCTGCTCCACTCCAGACACACCCACATAAAGGGGACAAACACACATACAACAGAAAAAGAGGGGACAAAACAAGGAGGAAGGGAAACAGAAAAGGGAGAGACAAGCTGCCCACATAACATAAACTCTTTATCCTCACTCCTGCAGTTACCTCCTGTGATTTTGAATCGCCTTGCTCCTGGAGCTTCTCCAATCACAGCATCAGATATGATTGGAGGGTCACATCACCACAGCAACACAGATCCAGCACACAGGCCATGAGGCCGGTCAGCGACCATTCGGAGGGGAGCTCTGATGGTAAGGGCACAGTCACAAATTGTGTTTTTCACTCACACTTTTAATGTGCTACTTCTTTCATCTCACTGAGAGCATATTGTAGTATACTGTATTCAGAGTCATTAGAGAGATGGTGACGTGTGTTGAGTGCTGGGAAAACAGCCAAGAGAGAAGGACACTTACGGTGTTTAACACTGTAAGTAGGTCTATGTGCAGTTGGAAAATGCAGTATTTTCCCTAATAATTTTGATATTTTGTTTTTACTTCAGGGAAATTATTGTCTGTTTCCCTCCCTTTCTAGGTCACTTCCTGCTTTTGAGTCCCTCCGCTGCCTCCAGGGCATCTAGGAAGTGTGAATACCACATCACTAGTCCAGTGGTCTACAATAGTGGTCCACTGTGCCATCTGCAGCTGGTCCGCTTTGAGTCAGGGCCCACCGCTGGAAACCTCTCAGTCTTAGTGAAACCAGTCGACTCAGCATCTGTCATCAGCACAGCAGCTCTCAGTGGCAGAGCCCAAGATGGCACCAGGTCAGCAAGGCCTTATGATTAGATTTTATGCTCATGTTTAGCCTCTTATGTTTCAATTTTACGCTTGTTCACTTGAACATTCCACACAACTTCTCAACAATCTCTATTTTGTATGCTTAGAGTAGTAGCATTTGCTGGACTAGCTCTACACTGCATCCATGTGTAACTCACTTACGGTACTCTACATTGTATCTCGAGGAAGTTCTTAGTGGCGAACTCAGAATTCCTACACCAATCCACCTAATACAGTAGTGAAAGAAAGGGGACAGCATTGCATTGAAACACTGCTAATAACTATAAGGTACTCAGTCTGTTGATGGATTGAAGTGGTTGTTTTAAGAAAGACATGGATCAATCTGCTATAATGCACTGAAGTGTAGGTTCCTGGGACGCCTAGAGGGACTTGACATACAATAAGCTTTAAGTATGGCATGGAAATACCACTACATCCCTTGACATGGAGAGAGATCACCTTTGTGTAACTATTGTTGGGCAAATGTCCTTAATATTGATCTAATATGTTGGGCACAGCCATTCTGGGACCAGATAAAAGCATTTTGTTTCCAAATGCAGACCCTGAAAATGAATTTGGACATAATTGGCCTGGACAGTAGCGTGGAGGGAAGGGCTGGTTATAACCTGGCCTCTTTATTTGGAGAGTAATGGAGTGCTTGTTCATTATGAAAGAGGTTTTAACTCACAGACAGTAAGATGGTGAGTACTGGGGATGACAGGTCGCCTTAATCGCCACTGGAAGCAAGACATACTGTATTAGCAGGGGTGGAAATATAGAAGAAACAGATGGAAGTCAACATGGTGGGATCACTAAGCTTTCAGCTTGACAAGTCTTTTTTCTCACAGAATGTACAGTACTGTATGATTTTCAGCACTCACCCACCGTAATGTACAGATACATTTGTACCTATTCGCTGAGGTAGTAATAGAAGTGGGCTGTTAAGAGCATCTCCTTTAATGTTCTCGAATAAAGGCGTACCTATCAACAAAAAAAAAATGTCATTAGGGTTTAAACTTGGATTTGAAAGGTGATGTACACATATTCCATTTAGCTCTCTTCTCATATCTTAGTCAATCCACACTGCCTAAATGGGTTTGGGGGTCTCCTCTCCTAACGTGAGCTAGCTAGTCTATAAATATCCATTGGTGTGGTGTTATGCTCCTAGGTTCTCTGACAGGTCTCAGATAAAGGGATTAGAGAATTACTGGATTTCCAAATGAAAGTGGTTTAAGGCATTTACATTACATTTACGTCATTTAGCAGACGCTCTTATCCAGAGCGACTTACAAATTGGTGCATTCACCTTATAGCCAGTGGGATAACCACTTTACAATATGTTTTTTTAAATGTTTTTAAATGTTTTTATTTAAGACGCTATGCAGCAGGGGGATCTCCTAGCTCCTGTGCTGTCGTTGAGCTCAGGGAACCTCACGTGGATGGATGGTTGTTGTATGGATGGTACTGCAGGAGCAAAGACAGCATAAAGCCAATCTGAACAGTGTACTGTATGTTGTCAAGAAAGACTGGAATGCAGACAGTTTGAATGTAATTTTATTTGGGCAAAAGATATACAAAAATATGTACAATGTGTTCCCAGAGGATAGCCAGAGGATATCACATTATTGATTAAAACACTTGTTTCTAAAGTGGTCTTTGATGGTAAAAGACAAGACAAAATTACAAACAAACACATTAAATTCATACTGACATCCCAAAAAGTGGCACTATAGATTGCACTTAAAAATAGTTGAATGAGCAGATGTTGAGATGATGGACATAATATGTTATGTTATGCTGACTTCAGTTGAGAGGGAAATGTATAAACCTGAATGTAAAATGTAGTAATATAAACTTTAAGTAGAATATAAACTGTAGTATAATGGTTGCGTGGGTATGAAGATGCAACTCACTTCTCCCATAAAAGTAAAGTTGTTTATCCACTTACTGCCCATTTAATTTCTACAGATGACCAGAGACTGTTTGTTACATAGACAAGGCTGCTTAGATACTTATTTGAACCGAAAGTCCTTTCAAGATTTTGCCACCTAGACACACGCGCACATACACACACACAAACAAACACACGCTATGTGCTTCTATCCTCGTGGGGACCTAAAATGCATTTCCATTCAAAATCCAATTTTCCCTAAACCTAACCCTTACCCTAAGCTTAAACTTAACCTTCTAACCTTGACCCCTAACCCCTAAACCTAACTCCTAACCCTAACCACTAACCCCTTACCCTTACCCTAATTCTAACCCTAAACCTAACCCCTAAGTTTAAAATAGCCTTTGTCCTCATGAGGATGTGAGAAATGTCCCCACGAGGGAGAATTTTCCTTGTTTTACTATCCTTGTGGGGACTTTTGGGGATTTTAGGTCCCCACAAGCATAGAAGAGCCAACCCACACGCACACATGCACAGTTAACCCTCTGTTTGCTTGGAGCAGGGACCAGTGGGAGGTGCTGGAGGCGGTGATTGGAGAGGTGGATGAGCCCTTCCAGGTGACCCTGCTCTACTCCACTTGCCTGGGGAAGGATAGGGGCTCTCTGGCCCTCGACTCCCTGGAGCTCATAGACTGTGACATGGGTAAATTCTGAATTACATCTCCAAACATCAATAGAAACATAAAAATGCTATGATATTTTTCCGTAAACTAATTCGTAAACTAATCTGGAAACTAAATGTGAACTCTTTCTTGTTCCAGGTCACCATGAATTACAGCTGGGCACAGACTGTGACGAGATCACTTCTTTCCACTGTGACCTGGGAGGCTGCATTGACAAGACTAGAGTATGTGACTTCCACAGTGACTGCCCCCTAGGGGAGGATGAGGGATTTATCTGTGGTGAGTCTAAGGCCTTAAAGGGATACTGCGAGATTCTGGCAATTAAGCAGTTTTTCTACTTACCCAGAGTCAGATGAAAAGTAGAAGAACGGCTTGATTGGCAGAATCTCGCAGTATCCCTAAGAGCAGCTTCAACAGTGCAACAACGTTACATGACATTACTGAGGGTGAATTCAGGGTCCAGAGTTTTCATGGTCATCATGGGGCTAGGTACAATTCTGGGCCCTATGTATGTGTACCTTGCATCTGATCTTTCCAAGAAAGATGTTGTCGAATATGTTTATATCTCTTATCTAAACTTCATTGGAAATTGGAATAAGTTGTGTAATATTCTGACATTTCAAATAGGCCTTCACCATAATTCATTGTCAGCTTTGATTATTTATTTTCTACCTCACCAACACAATCTTTTTTCAAAGTAAATCTTATAACGTAGGATCAGATTATGTTTGAAATAACTAAGCCTAAAGGAAAAAGAGTTTCAGCATTTTAAATCACTTTGTTTTTAGTTGGGTATTCTCATTGGAATAAATTAATGCAATTAGAAGTGAGAAGAGTGATGTGACAAGCCACAAAGACAGAGTGTGGTACCCCTGGCAGGGTGCATGCCATTTGCATTAACTGTATTAAAGTTTAAGGCCATGATGAATTGTTAATCCTTTCACTGGAGGCAGTGGATTAGCCAACAGTAAGTGCTCTCCTTCTCTTTACTGTGTTTCTCAGTCAGTTCCTTATCCTAAGAGCTAACTGTAACAACCACTAGGTGGGCATTGCATTTAGAGACAGAAATGTGCCAAAAGAGTCCTTCCACTAAGGCTAATATTTTTCTTTGGACCATTCTCTGTGGGTTTAATAAATGTACTGTTTCTCCAAGACACCACTTGGAACTGAAATACCATTATTCAGCTGGCATTTGAATGTAAATGCTCTTTTAAACGGCAGCTTTGTGAAATGATACAAAGGGAATTGATTAGTTAGTGACAACATAAAGGTAGCAATCAATGCTTGCAGCCCTTGCATCAATGCTCACATCAACACCATTAGTCATAAAAGCCATCTTAACACTCAATCAAAAATACATTCAATGTAAAGAATGGTTCACACATGGAGAATACAACTTGTACCTCCACTAGGTAATTAAGAGGCTATTCTCATTGACAAACATTTAAGGAGAGGCAGCGTGACAAGATTTCAATTGACATAATATGTACATCAGTGGAGGCTGCTGAGCGGAGGACAGCTCATAATAATGCCTGGAATGGAGTATATGGAATGGTATCAAACATGTTGTTTCCATGTGGTTTATACTATTCCATTGACTCCATTCCAGCCATTACTATGAGCCGTCCTCCCCTCAGCAGCCTCCACTGATATACATAAACTTTTCAGTTAACATTACAGCCTTGACTTACCTTTCGTTGTGGCTGGCAATGTGACATTCTTGCTCTGCAGCTCCAAATTTACTGTAAATGTTAGTGTCACAGTAGCCACTGGCACTGACTAGCCAGTAAGCTTGCAAGCTATTCAACAATGCAAGCAACTTTTCCTCTAAAACATATTAGCTAGGTACATTCTTGAATAATGCAACTAAACCATATTACACTCTTGAATAATGCAACAATTCACAAGCACGTGCACACAATTAAAGGGTTTATTTTCTCGTTCGTACACGCATTAGCTAAATGTAGCTTGCAAGACAATAAAACAGCTAGCTATCAATGCTAGCTAGTAACGTTAGCATATCAAACATGAACGTTTACCCCTCTCATACAAACTGGTTGAATCACCATTGTTTCAACGTCATTTGTCAACGTATTGTGACGTTGAATCTACGTGGAAAATACATTGGATTTGAAAAAAGACGTCAACGTAAACTGTTTTGAGGGTGAAATTTCAACCACAGGATTATGTCATCATGATAACCAAATGTAAACATAGAAAAACCTTGTATAAAATATGTTTCATTTGTACCTTTAAAACAATGTCAGATCTTCAACGTAATATCCACTATCAGAAAAAAACAATAGGCTGGGCAGCACCTCCCACTGGAGAATGTATCTATCTAAAGCTACCCTTTGGTCTCCCATCCAGGGTTTTAACCAAGCCCAGCCCTGCTTAGCTATGATATTTGTCACTGACTATTACCAACGTGCAAATTAAATGTGACCATACTTTATCACATACAGTGCCTTTGGAAAGAATTCAGACCCCTTGACTTTTTACACACTTTGTTATGTTATAGCCTTTTTCTCAAATGGATTAAATAAATAAAAATCCTCAGCAATCTACACACAATACCCCATAACGACAGAGCAAAAACAGGTTTTTAGAAATTTTTGCAAATGTATTAAAAATAAAAAACTGAAATACCTTATTTACATAAGTATTCAGACCCTTTGCTATGAAACTCGAAATTGAGCTCAGATGCATCCTGTTTCCATTGATCATCCTTGAGATGTTTCTGCAACTTGATTGCAGTCCAACCTTTGGTAAATTCAATTGATTGGACATGATTTGGAAAGGAGCACACCTGTCTATATAAAGTCCCACAGTTGACAGTGCATGTCAGAGCAAAAAACAAGCCATGAGTTCGAAGGAATTGTCCGTAGAGCTCCGAGACAGGATTGTGTCGAGGCACAGATCTGGGGAAGGGTACCAAAACATTTCTGCAGCATTGAAGGTCCCCAAGAACACAGTGGTCTCCATCATTCTTAAATGGAAGAAGTTTGGAACCACCAAGATTCTTCCTAGAGCTGGCCGCCCAGACAAACTGAGCAATTGGGGGAGAAGGCCCTTGGTCAGGGAGATGACAAAGAACCCGATGGTCACTCTGACAGAGCTCTAGAGTTCCTCTGTGGAGATGGGAGAACCTTTCAGAAGGACAACCATCTCTACAGCACTCCACCAATCAGGCCTTTATGGTAGAGTGGCCAGAAGGAAGCCACTCCTTAGTAAAAGGCACATGACAGCACGCTTGGAGTTTTCCAAAAGGCACCTAAAGACTCTCAGACCATGAGAAACAAGATTCTCTGGTCTGATGAAACCAAGATTGAACTCTTTGGCCTGAATGCCAAGCGCCACGTCTGGAGGAAACCTGGCACCATCCCTACGGTGAAGCGTGGTGGTGGCAGCATCATGCTGTGGGGATGTTTTTCAGCGGCAGGGACTGGGAGAGTAGTCAGGATCGAGGGAAAGATGAACGGAGCAAAGTACAGAGAGATCCTTGATGAAAATGGGCTACAGAATGCTCAGGACCTCAGACTGGGGCGAAGGTTCACCTTCCAACAGGACAATGACCCTAAACACACAGCCAAGACAACACAGGAGTGGCTTCGGGACTAGTCTCTGAATGTCCTTGAGTGGCCCAGCCAGAGACCGGACTTGAACCCGATCGAACATCTCTGGAGAGACCTGAAAATAGCTGTGCAGCAACGCTCCCCATCCAACCTGAGCGAGCTTGAGAGGATCTACAGAGAAGAATGGGAGAAACTCCCCAAATACAGATGTGCCAAGCTTGTAGCATCATACCCAAGAAGACTCGATGCTGTAATCGCTGCCAAATGTGCTTCAACAAAGTACTGAGTAAAGGGTCTGAATACTTATGTAAATGTGATTTTTCCGTTTTTTGCTTTCTCATTATGGGGTATTGTGTGTAGATTGATGAGGGAAAAAAACAATTTCATCAATTTTAGAATTTTCGAATTTTCGAGAAGCTTTAATTTGTATAAGCTGTATCTGAATGTATAAGTGTATAGGGCACTGAATGAGTCAGTGAAGCGAGTATGTTTTGGTCCACTGTGTCCCCATGCAGACACTCTGCCCTATGGAGCCCACTGTTCCTTTGAGCCTGGGTCCTGTGGCTGGTCAACGTCCAATGAGCTGTCCTCTTGGAGGAGAGTCAGTGGGGAGGAACTGGGACACAGTAAAGACGTGCTGGGGACAGCTCTGCAAAACACACAAGGTAAATGGTGCAAAACACACCAGGTCACTCAAAGGTAACCAGGCCTAAAATTGCTGGCTAACACTTTATTTGAAGGGGGTATACATGGCACCTTTATCATATTAGACATAAATAGAGATTGGGTATTGCATTGTGCTGTATAAAATATCAATTTTACACTAGACTGGTCCTCATCCTGTAAATTGGGTATTGTTTTTTACTCAGTCACTAAACACTGATGGACATACAGTGTACTGAAAATTCAGTTCACTGTTCAATCTTGCAACCTTTTTGTCATATGAGCAATATAGTATAAGCACCTTTTGCACCCAATAGGCAATTGACCAGGAGTTGTAAATGGAGATATGATGGTATCCTACAGCTCTAGGGTTAGATGTGTCCTCTGAGAATTGGTTTTCAAGTGCTGCTGAGTCTCGTCCATCAGGTGCTTGAGCTAAGAGAGGGGAACTATGAGAAGACTGTATAGGAAAATATGATCCTTCAGGTTTCTTTCCATGTTTCTCATATTACACAGAGACTGGAAATCCATGTTTTTTTTATGACTCCAATGGATTTTTATTTAGATTCAAGTTATCAAAACATTGGGGAATTTAATGGCTTAGTACAGTATTTCCCAAACTCGATCCTGGGGACCCCAAGGGGTGCACGTTTAGATTTTTGCCCGTAGCACTACATAGCTGATAAATAACCAACTCATCATTAAGCTTTGATTATTTAAATCAGCTGTCTAGTGCTAGGGCAAAAACCAAAACTTGCACCCATTGGGGTCCCCAGAACCGAGTTTGGCAAACACTGGCTTAGTCGGAGAAATTCCTTATGGCCCTGAAACTCAACTCTGGACCTCGAAGCCAGTTCCACTGCCTTTCCCCTCTAATCAGGGAATGATTTAGACCTGGTACACCAGGTGGTTGCAATCAATTATTAGGAAGAACAGAAAACCAGCAGGCTCCAGACCTCGTAGGGTCAGAGTTGAATACTCCTGCCCTATGGGTTTATCACTGAATATATTTGAATTATATCCTTTGGAAAGTTTGTAGATGATTTACAATCAGTTATAATACTTGATCATTATCTAGCCCAGCATGATGTGGTGTGAGGTAAAGCGTGCCCTGTTTCTGCTAAATTGATTTCCTTTCATTGACTTCTGCATTTCAGTTTAGAGCTCCAATTGGTTTCATTCCAAATTGACAAGCACTGCACCAAGGCAATATATATAGTTTTGCAGATGAGCACTGAAAGGCTGTTCTCTTCAGAGCTCTATCAGTAATACCCTTTTGAGTGGTGCAATATGTCAGTGTCCACTCCCCTCAGTGTTGCGGTTATTGTCCCCCCCAGGGCACTTCCTGTTCCTGGCGGTGAGAGGGAACAGTTCCAGTATTAAAGCGTCTGTCCGAAGTTCCTCCTTCCCCCAACCGGTCTCTACCACAGCCTGTCAGGTGAGAAAAATAGACCTATCTTTCCACCAATGGCTTCCTTACAATCTCCCCTACTTACTACATGCTCACTGATGACTCACTGATGAGTTCTAGACATCCTCATTAAGGACGTTTTAGAAACACCCTCAAAGATGCCAGAATCTCACAACCATAGCCAAGTCTTACATTTTTTTTGGTAATTAGTCAGCGGCTCTATCATAACAAAGAGCAGTCCTCTAGTACTACACACAGAATATTAATCTTCATACAGTTAAGCCATGTTCAAGTCTTCAAACAGTATGTCATGAAATTCACTGTAACGTCTGTTCTTGATGTCGCTGTCTGCAGTTGCATTTCTCCCTGTATCTCTATGGGGAGTTTAATGGCACCGTGCTGCTGTCACTAGAGGATAACGGTACTGTTGCATCCCCGTTGGTGTGGGAGAGGTCTGGACAGTGGAAAGACAACTGGCAGGACATCACTCTGCAGCTACCTGCCCTCCTCAATGGGTACAGTGCCATAATGTACTGCTAAATTACTGACCAGAGGTGTCAAACATACAGCACATAAAAGCTCAAAGTTAGTTTCTTGAGTGATTGTAGTTCATTGATAAATGATGACTGTGTTAGTTAGTACAAAAATAGTTTTTTGTAGTAACTAAGAAATGCATAGACTGATATGTGAAAGAATTTAAGGTATTTTTTGGTACTTAAACTAATATGAAAATAATACCATACTGTGTTTCCCTCCATTCATGGTGATGTGTGTTCTCCCAGGTTCCACCTCAAGGTGAAGGCTCTGTGGGGACCAGGCTCCAATGCTGACATCGCCCTAGATGACATTGCCCTGGGGGCAGCATGCTTTGACACAGGTAGCCCTCCATGTAACACAATCTGTACACAACACAAAGCCAGCTCTCAATGTAGATACTGTAGCATACTGTATGTATGGCTAGAGTACAGTGGGCAACCATTTGGAGGGCTCCTAGCACGTCATTGAATAATCTCTCAAACGAACAGCAATTGAGTAAAACTTCCATGGGGCGGCGCGCACAATTGGCCCAGCGTCGTCCAGGGTAGGGGAGGGAATGGCCGGCAGGGGATGTAGCTCAGTTGGTAGAGCATGGCGTTTGCAACGCCAGGGTTGTGGGTTCGATAAAATAATGTATGCACTAACTGTAAGTCGCTCTGGATAAGAGCGTCTGCTAAATGACTTAAATGTAAAATGTAAATGTAAATGTCTTAAGATTACATTTACTGATTGAGAGGGGCCTCTTTCATAAAGATAGAGCTAATAAGATTCCTTAACCCATTACAGTCTAAGCCCTGTCTAAGCCGGGGGAGGGGGGAGGGGGTTCTACTAAGTTATATGGAATTGTTTTAAGAAGGTCATACCAGCCTCCCGAATGGCGCAGCAGTCTAAGGCACTGCAGCGCAGTGCTAGAGGCGTCACTACAGACCCTGATTCGATTCCATGCTGTATCATAATCCAGCTGTGATTGGGAGTCCTAAAGGGCGGTGCACAATTGTCCCAGCGTCGTCCGGGTTTGGCCGGGGTAGGCCGTCATTGTAAATAAGAATTTGTTCTTAACTGACTTGCCTAGTTAAATAAAGGTTAAAAGAAAATACAGAAGAATGATGCACACAGATGCGACGGCTAACCACTGTTTCCAACGCAGCTGGAGATCTCCCCTGGAGGCCCGATGATCCACACACTGCCTGATTGCTTCTGAAAGAGGGAAACCGACATAGAATGCTTCTCCCCTGGGATTCGAATCTGCAATCCGACAATAAAATGTTACGCCAACAATGGGTTCCAGTGTCATATACGTTATTGTCACGCTCGAGGACACATCTTCTTCGCTCCATCGATTCTTCTCTACCATGAAGCTCTTTGGTCAGAACTCTGGAGAAGTCTGCCAATATTCGTTTTATTTGATAGGCATTGCAAATGCGGTTAGGTAAATGTTGGGAGGGAGGCAGGGGGCTTGCAGAGTCTCGTGCAAGGCAAATGGTTCTGTGGCTGCGGGTTGGCTGTGGGTTGGCAACGCCAGACAGGCACCAGTTGGGCGTGATATGATCGGCACACAGATTTATCGTCCCTATTACGTTTTACTGTAGCACATCTCCAGACCCTCCAGAATTCCACAGCTAATTGCAGCTCCTAAGTCATAACCTCCCTTATCATGTCTCCTGCTAAGACTTAAACAATGTCCTCCCTCGCAATTATTACTTATCTCCTGAAGCCCTTTGTCTTTCTCTACTTTCTCCATAAGTCTGTCTTTCTTTCTCCATCTCCTCAACCCATGAACTTCCTGCAGCTCATCCCTTTTTATCTACTCAACTGGAACTTATCCTGCCCTCACAAAAACACATCTACGCTCTAAATCCTATCTCTGTCTCCGTCTTTGAAGAAACCATTATTAATAGAAGACGTATGAAAGAGAATGTTTTTCAGGTCCGTCTGTAGACTGTAGAGATGAATGTGTCTGTCTCCCTCCTCTCAGATCTCAACTCCCTGCTGCTCGGACACAGATTCTTCCACGAAATGGACTCCATCAGTAAACTGGATTTCTTCAGCCCCCTCCCAGAGCCCTCTGCCTCAGGTACACTACCAGCTGTTCTAATGGAATATATTTTGCATTTCTAAGACCAATGTCCTTTGCAGTTTGATTTTCACAGGGCTTTTCCCCTCCATTTTGCATAATACACCAGGTGCATCCATTAAAGTAATTTCCTTTGATTTCCTCAGCAGCTGCTCCACTATATGTACAGTGGGGGAAAAAAGTATTTAGTCAGCCACCAATTGTGCAAGTTCTCCCACTTAAAAAGATGAGAGAGGCCTGTAATTTTCATCATAGGTACATGTCAACTATGACAGACAAATTGAGGACAAAAAATCCAGAAAATCACATTGTAGGATTTTTAATGAATTTATTTGCCAATTATGGTGGAAAATAAGTATTTGGTCACCTACAAACAAGCAAGATTTCTGGCTCTCACAGACCTGTAACTTCTTATTTAAGAGGCTCCTCTGTCCTCCACTCATTACCTGTATTAATGGCACCTGTTTGAACTTGTTATCAGTATAAAAGACACCTGTCCACAACCTCAAACAGTCACACTCCAAACTCCACTATGGCCAAGACCAAAGAGCTGTCAAAGGACACCAGAAACAAAATTGTAGACCTGCACCAGGCTGGGAAGACTGAATCTGCAATAGGTAAGCAGCTTGGTTTGAAGAAATCAACTGTGAGAGCAATTATTAGGAAATGGAAGACATACAAGACCACTGATAATCTCCCTCGATCTGGGGCTCCACGCAAGATCTCACCCCGTGGGGTCAAAATGATCACAAGAACGGTGAGCAAAAATCCCAGAACCACACGGGGGGACCTAGTGAATGACCTGCAGAGAGCTGGGACCAAAGTAACAAAGCCTACCATCAGTAACACACTACGCCGCCAGGGACTCAAATCCTGCAGTGCCAGACGTGTCCCCCTGCTTATGCCAGTACATGTCCAGGCCCGTCTGAAGTTTGCTAGAGTGCATTTGGATGATCCAGAAGAGGATTGGGAGAATGTCATATGGTCAGATGAAACCAAAATAGAACTTTTTGGTAAAAACTCAACTCGTCGTGTTTGGAGGACAAAGAATGCTGAGTTGCATCCAAAGAACACCATACCTACTGTGAAGCATGGGGGTGGACACATCATGCTTTGGGGCTGTTTTTCTGCAAAGGGACCAGGACGACTGATCCGTGTAAAGGAAAGAATGAATGGGGCCATGTATCGTGAGATTTTGAGTGAAAACCTCCTTCCATCAGCAAGGGCATTAAAGATGAAACGTGGCTGGGTCTTTCAGCATGACAATGATCCCAAACACACCGCACGGGCAACGGAGTGGCTTCGTAAGAAACATTTCAAGGTCCTGGAGTGGCCTAGCCAGTCTCCAGATTTCAACCCCATAGAAAATCTTTGGAGGGAGTTGAAAGACCGTGTTGCCCAGCGACAGCCCCAAAACATCACTGCTCTAGAGGAGATCTGCATGGAGGAATGGGCCAAAATACCAGCAACAGTGTGTGAAAACCTTGTGAAGACTTACAGAAAACGTTTGACCTATGTCATTGCCAACAAAGGGTATATAACAAAGTATTGAGAAACTTTTGTTATTGACCAAATACTTATTTTCCACCATAATTTGCAAATAAATTCATAAAAAATCCTACAATGTGATTTTCTGATTTTGTTTTCCTCATTTTGTCTGTCATAGTTGACGTGTACCTATGATGAAAATTACAGGCCTCTCTCATCTTTTTAAGTGGGAGAACTTGCACAATTGGTGGCTGACTAAATACTTTTTTCCCCCACTGTATGTCTGTATCCTTTCCATGCAACACAGGGAGTTTGTTTGTTGACTGACATGTGGCTCATGTGTCTGTCTCCTCTCCTCAGAGGTGACCCTGATGACCTGGTGGTTCACATCCTGTGGGGCCAGTGGCCCCCAGGGCCCCACCCAGGCCCAGTGTGACAGCGCATACCGCAACACCAATGTCAGTGTCACCGTGGGCAAGGAGGGCCCGTTCAAAGGAGTGCAGACCTGGAGGGTACCAGCCACCAACAGATACATGTGGGTGCACATTTTGCTATGTTCTTCTAATCTTGTAGAAATATGAAAGCCACAGAGAACAACTGTTTTGCAATCGGAACACTCTTGCACTAGACTAAACCATATGGTAAAGATGCTTGAAACAAGCCCCCTGACCAATGATTGCATCTGTACGTCACGACTGACAGCTGGCAGGAAGCAGCCGCCTAACCTGAGAAATCAGTCAACTGAATAAATACAGGTTAAATACTACCCTGTATCACCTTCATGTCACGTATCTGCTAGACCTATAGAATATAGGCAAGTCTCTGGAGTGCCAAGATTGATTTCCACATCATCCAGGTTAGGGGAGGGGGAGTCTGATATGGGTTCAGACCCTGCCTGGGCTGTGTGTGTGTGTGTGTGTGTGTGTGTGTGTGTGTGTGTGTGTGTGTGTGTGTAAGTAAGTAAGACTGAGGCAGAGTGAGAAGCGTGACTCACCGGCTGGAGGCATAGATTAGTCTATCTGTGCTCACTGCTCACTCTCTCTCCATAATCTGGCCCCTGCCAAGGCAAGGCTTTGAACTCATTTATTGTAGTTGCTGGTCTAGTCATGGGGCCTCATTACAATGAGCTCCACAACACTAGATGTTAAAAGGGGTAAAGAAAGACAAGAAGTGGGTATCAGGGAGCTTCTCTGCTCTTCTTTGTTAGCATTGGTATGTTGTTGTCGGGGGGCTCAGCTGAGCTCTGATTACAGTAAAACTACAGAATATTTACCATGATTTCATCTGATGATACAAGCTGATGATACAAGTCTCAGGCAAAGCCTTGGTATTGCCAGTGTTACAGTATGATTTGAAGAGCTGCAAATCTTCTGATGCACTATAGAGACCAAACCAACATGGCTTTTTTGCATCCTTTCTGCAATGCTCACTCGTAATTAATTGAGTAGCCACTGTTATAAGGTCACCTAAGCACCAAACATGACCTTCAGTGGTCTTATCACATGTTTAATGTGCCCTCCTCAGGATCTCAGCCTATGGAGCTGCAGGTGGCAAAGGAGCAAAGAACCACAACAAGCGTTCCCACGGGGTCTTCATCTCAGCCATCTTCCCTCTGGAGAAGGGAGACATCCTGTATATACTGGTGGGACATCAGGGGGAGGATGCCTGTCCAGGGGTAAGTGTTAGAGGGGAGAGTTAGGCTATCTCAGGTGACATTATGGGTGGATAACCTGCTGTTCAAAGTGTTTAGTTTTCTTTCAATGTTTGATTACTTCCTGGTACTTCGGGTACCATCCAGAGAGTATTTCCCTCCTGATGGTATGAAAATATAATTTCAGACTGGCAGCCATTCTCTCTCGCTCTGATCTGACCATATCCAATTGTTCTCTGTAGAGAAATCCCCTGACACAGAAGATCTGCCTGGGGGAATCCTCAGTGATAGAAGATGCGTTCACTGGTGAGGATTGGGCAGGAGGTGGAGGGGGTGGCGGAGGAGCCACCTATATCTACAAGGTAAGAGTCCCTAATAAGAGTCCCTCCTCTCAACCTAACTTCATTCAACTATTTTCTGCTTTTATCTCATGATGGTGTCCGTCGGAAGCAGATGTAGCTGCTAGATATGAGCCGATTGATAAGCTTCAAAAAAGTTCTGAATGCATTCTAAAAGATAATTTATCATGGTCTTTATCTACAGATGTAGTGTTACAAGCAGTAGAGGTCAGAGGTTATGTTAATAGTTTTTTATCACAAGAGCCCTTTAACCTAGGAGTTGTATCTCTTTGTAACGCTGGACTGGCCCCTAAGTGGACTATGGACCATGGCAGAGGGTAGAGTGGTACTCTAAAAGCTGTTACTGTGTTTGATTGTGACCCCTGCCAGATGGAGGGTGGAGTACTGGTGCCTCTACTTATAGCAGCTGGTGGTGGAGGTAAAGCCTACCTGGAGGACCCAGAGAGCAGCTTGGACCAGATCCCTCTGGAGCAGTACGAGAATGACACGGTGGCCACCAGCTCCAACGGCAAGACTGGAGCAGCAGGTTGGTAGGGTTGCCTTTACATCATCACCTCCATGTGTCCCTTCGCCCTGATTTTCTTCACAGAGCTAACTATCTGCTCCCTGAAAACATATGGCTTTCATTCCTCTGACTGCTAAAGCTCCTACTTGAGTGTCTTCAGGAGAAAGGACAGGAGTGTGTCAGAGAAAGGGCAGGAGTGCAGGTGTTGGTATCAAGAAGCTGGAACATTCCCAGTAAATCTTGTTTGACCAGCAGGGTGTTATGGAACAATTATCGACACATCTTATGCAAACATCGATGGAAGTGTTTAGAGAGTGTGATGGCTAAATGAGGTGTTTGTGTGTGTGTGTGTGTGTGTGTGTGTGTGTGTGTGTGTGTGTGTGTATGTGTGTGTGTGTGTGTGTGTGTGTGTGTATGTTGCAGGGGGAGGTGGAGGCTGGAAGGACTCCTCCAGCTACTTGTGGTCAGGGAAGTCTCTCCTGGAGGGGGCCGAGGGGGGTTCCTCCTGCCCCCAAGCCTTATCCAAACTGTCCTGGGCCACCTTCGGGGGGTTCGGAGGGGGAGGGGGAGCCTGCACTGCTGGAGGAGGAGGAGGCGGATACAGAGGTAAGCTCACACACATATATTAAAATAATAATAATTATTATTATTGCTTTCCTATGTGCTGTACTATACTGTTAGGGGTGTTATTATAGGATTTAAGATCCTCCCTCTGTAGCCTCCAGCTCTTATCTAGCTGTGATGAATCTGACAAGATATTTATGCTGGAGAATTTACTTTGGCCCCAAGGAAAGGGGCAGGCTGATAACATTCACTGCTTTTCTGTCTTTATCTAGTATGATTTACTAGTTGTGGATCATGAAAGACCCTGCTCCCTGTTCTGGCTCGGGAAGAAAGTTCTACTTAATTGATTGATAAGATTGGAGTTCCATTTGGCTCCTCTGCAAAACATGACTGAGAGGAGATGGGTTGTTCCGTCAAAAGAGTAACTTTGATATTTTAAGTAGAAGTTGTGCACCAATATTGAATTTTAAAAGCCTGTTATATTAAATGAGTTGCCATTTAATATAGACCACATAGAGAATTAAATAAATCAGATTTTTTGTTTGAATAAAGACTTGCTAAAGGACCAAAATTAAACATTTTGACATGTCCTTCTGTCAACCCTGTTTCACCCATTATGGAAAAACCACATGATTTCACATGTGAAATTTCCACATTTGGCCTGTGTGAAATCATGTAAAACCATGTGTTTTTGGAACACTTCACGTGATGATATTTCACATGAAGTTTCACATGTGGATTTTCACGTGATCACATAACCTTTATATTTTTCACATGAGATTTCACAGGTGATGCCCTGCAAACAAAAATGAGTAGTTAGGATAGACACACAAGCTGTATCTTTTAACATAGTGTTTTCAACTTACCTACTTGACACACTTTGACATACATGATTACATTGTGTATGTTTATTTAAACAGAATAATATGCCCCACCAACATTAGACAACTATACAGAAAACCCCTAAAATTTCACCATATCGGGTGAACTGTTTAGAAATTACAGCACTTTTTGTACATAGTTCCCCCCGATTTTAGGGGACCAAAAGTATTGGGACAAATTCACTTACGTGTTTATTTAAGTAGTAAAAAGTGAAGTATTTGGTCCCATAATCATAGCACGCAATGACTACATCAAGCTTGTGACTCTACACATTTGTTGGATGCATTTGCTGTTTGTTTTGGTTGTGTTTCAGATTATTTTGTGCCCAATAGAAATTAATGGTAAATAATGTATTGGGTCATTTTGGAGTCACTTTTATTGTAAATAAGAATATAATATGTTTCTAAACACTTCTACGTTAATGTGGATGCTACCATGATTGCGGATAATCCTGAATGAATCGTGAATAATGATGAGTGAGAAAGTACCCCGCAAAAATGCTAACCTCCCTTGTTATTGTAATGGTGGGAGGTTAGCATGTCTTGGGGGTATGATATTTGTGCATCTTCATTCAGGATTATCCGTAATGCTAAGTGCAGAGATGTATTATAAGTAATGAATGTGTAGAGGAATGCTACAGACTTTGCGGCGCAGCAGAAAAATCAGTGTACCCCGAATCCAGAGGTTGTGAGTTCAAATCCCAGGTGGGGTGATATTGAAACGTCAGTACTAAGTGATCATGTCAAATATTGTCATTGATTTTTTTTTTAAGTACACTATTTTAGCTGTACAGCATACCACTTACTTTAAAACCCCCATATAATTTCATTCCCTACAACAACAAAAACACGTGAAATTTAACCTAACACATCTCTTGTTTCAACATGTGAAAACAGCAATTTCACATGCGGAAATGCGATTTCACGTGTTGAGCTGAAATGTTCTCATGTAAAAAAAAAGAGACGTGTCAGGTCAGTTCATATGTGGAACCATATGTTCACATGTATTACATTTAGAGTTCACATATTAACACCACCTTTTCACATGTGAGGAGAATAACATGTTTTCACCTCACATGTAAATTGCAGAAAATCTAACTCTCACATGTGGAATTGTATTTTCACATGTGCAAAACTTTTTGAAATGTTGTATTCCTGTTGTCACATTTATTTCACATGAGATCATGGGTTCACATGCAAAAATTTGTAGTTTCATGTTATCACATGTTGCTTTTACAGTGAGGGGAAAAAAGTATTTGATCCCCTGCTGATTTTGTACATTTGCCCACTGACAAAGAAATGATCAGTCTATAATTTTAATGGTAGGTTTATTTGAACAGTGAGAGACAGAATAACAACAAAAAAATCCAGAAAAACGCATGTAAAAAATATTATAAATTGATTTGCATTTTAAAGAGGGAAATAAGTATTTGACCCCCTCTCAATCAGAAACCTTTCTGGCTCCCAGGTGTCTTTTATACAGGTAACGAGCTGAGATTAGGAGCACAATCTTAAAGGGAGTGCTCCTAATCTCAGCTTGTTACCTGTATAAAAGACACCTGTCCACAGAAGCAATCAATAAATCAGATTCCAAACTCTCCACCATGGCCAAGACCAAAGAGCTCTCCAAGGATGTCAGGGACAAGATTGTAGACCTACACAAGGCTGGAATGGGCTACAAGACCATCGCCAAGCAGCTTGGTGAGAAGGTGACAACAGTTGGTGCGATTATTCGCAAATGGAAGAAACACAAATGAACTGTCAATCTCCCTCGGCCTGGGGCTCCATGCAAGATCTGACCTCGTGGAGTTGCAATGATCATGAGAACGGTGAGGAATCAGCCCAGAACAACACGGGAAGATCTTGTCAATGATCTCAAGGCAGCTGGGACCATAGTCACCAAGAAAACAATTGGTAACACACTACGCCGTGAAGGACTGAAATCCTGCAGCGCCCGCAAGGTCCCCCTGCTCAAGAAAGCACATCTGAAGTTTGCCAATGAACATCTGAATGATTCAGAGGAGAACTGGGTGAAAGTGTTGTGGTCAGATGGGACCAAAATCGAGCTCTTTGGCATCAACTCAACTCGCCGTGTTTGGAGGAGGAGGAATGCTGCCTATGACCCCAAGAACACCATCCCCACCGTCAAACATGGAGGTGGAAACATTATGCTTTGGGGGTGTTTTTCTGCTAAGGGGACAGGACAACTTCACCACATCAAAGGGATGATGGACGGGGCCATCATCCTTCCCTCAGCCAGGGCATTGAAAAGGGGTCGTGGATGGGTAATCCAGCATGACAATGACCCAAAACACACGGCCAAGGCAACAAAGGAGTGGCTCAAGAAGAAGCACATTAAGGTCCTGGAGTGGCCTAGCCAGTCTCCAGACCTTAATCCCATAGAAAATCTGTGGAGGAAGCTGAAGGTTCGTGTTGCCAAACATCAGGCTCGAAACCTTAATGACTTGGAGAAGATCTGCCAAGAGGAGTGGGACAAAATCCCTCCTGAGATGTGTGCAAACCTGGTGGCCAACTACAAGAAAGGTCTGACCTCTGTGATTGCCAACAAGGGTTTTACCACCAAGTACTAAGTCATGTTTTGCAGAGGGGTCAAATACTTATTTCCCTCTTTAAAATGCAAATCAATTTATAACATTTTTGACATGCGTTTTTCTGGATTTTTTTATTGTTATTGTCTCTCACTGTTCAAATAAACCTACCATTAAAATTATGGACTGATCATTTCTTTGTCAGGGGGCAAACGTCACATGTTATCACATTAACTTCATATAAGATCACATGGTTTTTCAGTAAGGGATTTTAACACACCTAACCCCAATATTTCTCCAAATTTCACCGTCATTGTAAAGCACTGGTTATTTTGTTGCTTTGACAAAGTAATTTCTGAAGATTATTATTTATTTCATGTGATTAGTGATTCATTTACGTCTGTCCCTCATTTTAAGATCGACCCTGTTACTTGAAGTGAACTCTCGTTTTAATATGGTGAAACTATTCCTTTTTAAATATATTTTTTCAAAAGAAACATTGAACAACTAATAGTCAAATAAAAGTGTAAAAGCAGATGAGCTGGTTGTACTCATTTTGGCCATTTCCTGGTGTTTTGTGATGTTAAACTGAGTGGGTCGAGCATAACACGTCAACCCTGGCTGTTACCCATAGATAGACAACATCATTCATTCATTGGTAGCAGCCTAGACAGAGAGCTCCTGTAAATGTGTACATATTTAGTTATTTTTAAGTGTGTTTTCATTGACTTTGGAACAAACATTTTAGTTTTTCATAACAATTCGTTTTTAATGCATATACAGTATCTGGTGGTTTTGAGCCACGGATTTGCAGATTGACTGACAGGTCAACTATTTTTGGCTTGGCTAGCTAGCTAGCTGGCTAATGTTTTTGTTTAAAAAATGCATCTGGAAACAGTAGCAGCTTTTCTATTTCACATGGCTGCCATCTTTTGAGAAAATCATGTGAGGAGTCTCTTGAAGCGTGAGAGGAATGGGAGATGGAGGAATACAGTGCTGGGGCAGAGGGCTCGTAGAGAGGACGACTGGCTACTATTCTGAACTTTGTGTGGTGGGCTTTCTGGCACCCAGAGCTGCCGAGGCATCACACAGTGGGTGCTTCACAGAGTGGAATAGCAGTCCAGTGGCTATATGACAAGCTGGTTCCCAGTCTTGCCCTCTAAAAGATCATGAGCAGACTCCATGACCATCATCTACCATCCTCTGATCAGCTCCTTCTGCTCAAGCCATGAACGGACTCTCTCCATGTGCAGAGGATGCAGCATTCAAAGACTTGGCCTGTATTGGTTGACCTGACCTGTCATGATACATTGCTTTTATTTATTTTATTATAATTTTTTGCTTATGAAGCACTTTGAGATTTCTATTATGGAAGCGCTATAGAAGTTTAATAAATTATTGGTATTAAAGCTGCAATATGTAACTTTTTGGGCTACCTGACAAAATTCACATAGGATTGTGAGTTATAGATACACTACATGATGAAAAGTATGTGGAGACCTGCTCATCAAAAATCTCATTCCAAAATCATGGGCATTAATATGGAGTTGGTTCCCCATTTGCTGCTATAACAGCCTCCACTCTTCTGGGAATGCTTTCCACTAGATGTTGGAACATTGCTGCAGGGACTTGCTTCCATTCAGCCACAACAGCATAAGTGAGGTCAGGCACTGATGCTAGGCGATTCGGCCTGGCTCGCAGTCAGTGTTCCAATTCATCCCAAAGGTGTTCAATGGGGTTGAGGTCAGGGCTCTGTGCAGGCCAGTCAAATTCTTCCACACTGATCTCGACAAACCATTCTGTATGGACCTCGCTTTGTGCATGGGGGCATTGTCATGCTGAAACAGGAAAGGGCCTTCCCCAAACCGTTGCCATAAAGTTGGAAGCACAGAATCGTCTAGAATGTCATTGTATGCTGTAGTGTTAAGATTTCCCTTCACTGGAACTAAGGGGCCTAGCCCGAACCATGAAAAACAGCCCAGACCATTATTCCTCCTCCACCAAACTTTACAGTTGGCACTATGCATTGGGGCAGATAGCGTTCTCCTGGTGTCCGCCAAGCACAGATTCGTCCATCGGACTGCCAGATGGTGAAGCGTGATTCATCAGTCCAGAGAACGCGTTTCCACTGCTCCAGATTCCAATGGTGGCAAGCTTTACACCACTCCAGCCTACACTTGGCATTGCGCATGGTGATCTTAGGCTTGTGTGTGGCTGCTCGGCCTTGGAAACCCATTTCATGAAGCTCCCGACGAAAAGTTATTGTGCTGACATTGCTTACAGAGGCAGTTTGGAACTCGGTATTGAGTGTTGCAACCGAGGACAGATTATTTTTACACACTACAAGCTTCAGCACTCGGCAGTCCCGTTCTGTGAGCTTGTGTGTCCTACCACTTAGTGGCTGAGCCGTTGTTGCTCCTAGACGTTTCCACTTCACAATAAAGGCACTTTCAGTTGATCGGGGCAGCTCTAACAGTGCAGAAATTTGACGAACTGACTTGTTGGAAAGGTGGCATTCTATGACGGTGCCATGTTAAAAGTCACTGAACTCTTCAGTACGGGCCATTCTACTGCCAATGTTTGTCTATGGAGATTGCAAGGCGGTGTGCTCGATTTGATACACCTGTCAGCAACGGGTGTGGCAGAAATAGCCGAATCCACTAATTTGAAGGGCTGTCCACATACTTTTGGTGATGTAGTGTATGTAATTCTCATTGAAAGCAAGTCTAAGAAGCGGTACATATGTTCTATGTGCGCTATTTCTATGTTTTTGTGTCTTTTACTTTCAGGTTTTGTACACCATATATTTCAAAATATATTTCACAGCAGTTTAGATGGTAAAATGATTGTCTACACTATACTTGCTTGTTTGTCACATAAACTAAAATTAGGCAAACTATTAGAATTTTGCTTTCAATACCCCCTGTCAGAAGGGGATTTAAGATTAAACCTGTTATGGTCAACCCCTTTACTTTATTTGGTACTTTATAGGCATTTACTATAGTCCTTTTTTTAATTTAACCTCTTGAGATGGGAACTTTTTTATGAAGTTGAACATGTGCTCTTCATGAAAACTTTTTTTTGACCAAATTACACTTCTCAAAAGGCACCATATTGGTGGAACGATCCAGATATGAACAGATTGAGAGACATTCGATTTCTTTCAGCATCATTAACATACCACACATACTCTCCCTCTACCCAGACCTTTTTTGTTCAAAAGGAAGATTGCCACTTATAATGTGAGCAGATGTTATGCAGGCAATAATAAGCCATTATTATTATTATTATTAGCTCAAACATGCACTTATCTTTGATATCGTGTTTAATCTAAATCAAGGTGGCGATGCCGCGCTGACTGATGACATCACAGCGGGTGGTCAGGATGGCATCTCCTTTGTTCATCCCATGGGGGAGATATTTCTCCAGCCGCTGGCAGGTAAGGCTTTCTCCTACTACCAGTTAACTAATTGATCGCCTCACGGATCCTGTTGATCCTGGCGCCATGCTGTCTTCTCTTTAGCCACTGATGTGGAAAAACAGGCATCCCCTCAATTCTTTACAGCACGACAATGTCATTTGTGACCAAAGCATGTGCCGCCAGTCCTGCCCGGAATACAAAGCAGTCCTCTGTGTAGTGAAAGACATGACAAAGACACTAACTAAAACAGATCAATTGATCCATGGTCATGCAGTATCGACTTTACAGTGAAATCATGATTAAGTTTAGTTGACCATAGCTAAGAATTTAACACCAGTGTTTGACAATGTTAAGAAGAAGAGATACAAAGAACTCAGATTGTAAAACATCTTCTCTTTTTAATCATACATATGGCTAAGTTGACCAGTGCTTGTGCTACAGCATTGTTCTTGTGAGATTCATGTGGTGATGTAACTTCCTCTGTCATCCTCTCCACTCAGCCATGGAGAGCCATGGAGAATGTGAGATCAAGGTGCAGCTCAACTGCAGTCACTGCCAGACCCAGAGCTGCAAACGAGACGAGGACACTCGACTCATCCTCTGCCTTTGTCACAACGAGGAGGTGCTGGCCAGTGACAACGTCACCTGCACAGGTAACTTCTGTACAGTCATGGAAATATTTACATTAAATGGCACACTCATCAAATAAAATAAATGGAGGAATGGAATGGAAGGTTGTTAACTACCTTACTAGTAGTCCCATTGTCTCTGATACATTGTTATGATCTTAGTGGTTCTCTATCTTCCCCTGCTAACCCTGACCTCTGACCCCCCCCCCCCCCACCAGCAGCAGTCCCTCAGAGCCTCACCCCAAAAGGCCAGCTGTCCCTGTCCCTCATCCTGGCCGTGGTGGCATCTACCGTGGTGACGGGCATCGTCCTGACCTGCGCCAGCCTCACCCTCAGTAAGAGACTCTTCCAGTTCTGTGTCGACTCTGTGCCCTCCACCTTTCATCGCCTGTGAGCTGTGAGCTTCTCTCCATGCCAACGATACTGTATTTAACTTTCAGAATGAAAGCATCCTGAAAAGGCAGGACGCTTAGCATTTTAAACCAAGCTGTGGTTTAATGTATTCTCTTTGAGGGAAATGTGACATTGGATGAGAGTGAATGGCAGAAGTACACGATTTTCACTGCAGTTAAAAGCCAGGAAGAGACTTAATTGTAGAGAAAGGCAAAGCTTGAATATAAAATATCTCAGAGACTTGACAGAAAGAGTACAAAAGGTGGCCTTTTAGGAATTTTGGCTTATAATTTTCCACAGTGACAATAATGGGTTTGCCTTGCCAGCCCTTGGGCATTATATTTCTTTCAGATATCAAGCCTGGTAGAGACTAGACATATTTTAAGTGTGATACACATACTTTTAGAGGGGCTTAAGGGATTACAGTGAGACTAACCACCTTTCACTCTTGCACTATTTCAGACCACAAAATCTAAGACATTTCTGTTAGAGTTAAGGGGTTAGCTAGGTATTCAGTTGGTTGTGTGGCACTTTGGGATTGATGGTCCCAATTGTGTGCAATAACATATACTGTATATCTATTCATGCTTCAAAGGGCACATTGGACACATCTCCAGTAACAATTCTTACCCTCTACTGTATACTTATTTTATAATGACATGGGTTTATTTGAATTCAAGGTGATACATGGTTTAACTGCTTAATGCTAATGATTGCACAATTAGCCTGCTAAAAGGAATGATTAGGGAATTAGGAAAATGACTGATATGAACCTTTAAATTGTACCTTTGATTATTCTGCTTTGAGGATGGAAGGAGAGAATAATAATCGATTCTCCTAATATTAGTGTCTAACTTTGTCTTGCCAATAGGCAATGATCAATATCATATTGAATGCTGCTACTGTGTCATATGTGTACTTTATGTGTGCTCATGCAAAAAAAAAGTACAGATTGTCTTATTAGTTTTTTGGCAAAAAAATGTACTACATTGAGGGATTATTTGATGTTTCTCTTGCAGTAAGACGGGAGGTAAGTTCTGTCAGTGCAAGACTCTTATTTTCCAGCCAAGGAGTGTCTAACCATGGAGTGTCTTATCATGGCAGAATGTCAATTTAAACTTGAAAAGCACTGTGGTGGTGACTCATCACTATGCATATGCCCTGTCAGGATCCAAGCATTACTGCCTTACTGCGAAATGCATTTCGCTACACCCGCAATAACATCTGCTAAACACGTGTATGTGACCAATAACATTTTATTTTATTTGATTTGAAATGGTCTTCCTAATCCCCTATACTTCTCTCATATAGTGTACATCTCTCAACTGTGGAGGAGTTAATACTACCAATAAAAATATAGTGTTGGCATATTAACGATTAACTACGTGATAACTTTTGTCCATGAAGGCAACAAACCATCCCTCTATGTCAGTATGAGATACATATATTTAGAGTTTGACTTGTGCACTAACTGTAACACACTTCTTTCCAATGCTAAATAAATAAAACTCGTAATTAACACAAAGTTTCACAGTGAAGTGAAAGTCCCTTTGAACTTTCCCATAAGCCTCAGAGGAAGTGATGTCAGAGCTGTCAATTCAAAAAGCATACTGTACAGTGTCAGTATATAGTTTCCCTATATCCTAAATACACAACATGCATAACACACAACACACACACACACTCAACCCAACCCAAAAGCCAGATGGTCATGCAGCCACACAGTGGCCCATGGAGATGGCCCTTCCAGGTGGAGACAGACCTCAGACAGTTAACAGTGTCTCTTCACCTGAGCTCTCCCCCATGTAGGTTGGTAGTCTGTCCACGGGCCCCCCACTCCTCCCCCGAGCGTCGCGTCTGTCTGCACCTGCAGCTCGACGTCACGGCAGAGGGCACCTCTCACCTCCACGCATCGCCCCCCAGGGCACCCACCCAGCCCCCCAGGCAGACTACCAACCTGCATCGAGGCCGCAGGCCGCCTCCACGGAGGGTGAGTCCTCGGTCCTCAACTCACAGACTGTCAGCTAGTCACTGATTGGACCAGGGGCAGAGGCCATATGTTAGAGGTCAGAGGCCAGAGGTTAGAGGACAGACAGACATTAGGGTAGTGTGTGTGTGATGCATGCGTTAGTGGGTTGTTGTGTCTCTGATCGGTACAGGATAGTAACAGTTTGAAGCAGAGGGCTGTATCACAGTAACCAACGCTATCTTCCTGGTCTCTCTCCCCTACAGTATACTACCGTAAGAAGAACCAGCTGCATGCGGTCAGACTGCGTCTCCAGAGTCCAGAGTACAAGCTGAGTAAGATCCGGTCATCGACCATCATGACAGACTACAACCCCAACTACTGCTTCGCTGGCAAGGCTGCTTCACTGAGCGAGCTGAAGGAAGTACCACGCAAGAACATCACCCTCCTCAGGTAAGCCACACACACAGTAAGCTATTAAGTGTATTACATGATAATTGATTGTAGTAGTGTGCTATATTCAAGTCACTTCAGGTTTTGACTGGACTCTGGAATTAAGCTCTTTGTCATCTGTCTGGCTTGGTGTGTGTTTGCAGGGCGTTGGGCCATGGAGCATTTGGGGAGGTGTATGAGGGCCAGGTTCTAGGGATGAATGGAGAGAACACAGCCATGCAAGTGGCTATAAAGGTCAGTTCCTCTTCCTCCGTCTCCTTTACTCCTCCATGACTAAGAGCACATTAGCACATAGCAGTTGAAAGGAAGTAATTGCTCTTGGGCAGTGCATATGACTGAATGTCTAAAAAGCAGGAGTAGAGAGAAGATGGTTAATATTGATAACCTTTTGACAAAAACATGTATTCCTCTATGGTAGTTTTCCTTTACATTTCCTTCATTATATGCACTGCTGGTCTGTTGCATTGAGAACTGCCTGGAGGTCAACAAAAACAAGGTCCCCTTTTTGCCTCTGTTGTAAGTAACAATGACACGTGTTTGATGTATTGGATAACGTTCCACCATTCCGCTCCAGCCATTACCACAAGCCCGTTAAGGTGCCACCAACCTCCTGTGGTTAAAATGTAACATAATTGCATCACACATACTGTAGATGATGACATTGTACAGAACATAATTCATTAATTAATTCAGCTACATATATTAGTTAATTCATTGATTTTCCTAGAAAACCTGGTGTGAAAATCAATCAAATGTATTAATAAAGCCCTTTTTACATCAGCAGATGTCACAAACTGCTTATACAGAAACCTAAAACCCCAAACTAGCAAGCAATGTAGATGTAGAAGCACGGTGGCTAGGAAAAACTCCCTAGAAAGGCAGGAACCTAGGAAAAAACCTAGAGAGGAACCAGGCTCTGAGGGGTGGCCAGTCCTCTTCTGGCTGTGCCGGGTGGAGATTATAAGAGTACATGGCCATTAAGGCTAGATCGTTCTTCAAGATGATCAACTGTTCATAGATGACCAGCAAGGTCAAATAATAATCACAGTGGTTATAGAGGGTGCAACAGGTCAGCACCTCAGGTTTAAATGTCAGTTGGCTTTTCATAGCCGAGCATTAAGAGGTCGAGACAGCAGGTGTGGTAGAGAGAGAGAGAGAGAGAGAGAGAGAGAGAGTCGAAACAGCAGTTCTGGTGAACAGGTTCCATAGCCACAGGCAGAACAGCAGAAAATGAATCAGCAGCACAACCAGGTGGACTGGGGCCGGGGACAGCCAGGAGTCATCAGGCCAGGTAGTCCAGAGGCATGGTCCTAGGTCTCAGGTCCTCAGAGAGAGAGACGAGGTAGCATACTTAAGATCACACAGGACACCAGATAAGACAGGAGAAATACACTAGATAGGACAGACTGACCCTAGCCCCCCGGCACATAGACTATTGCAGAATAGATACTGGGGACTGAGACAGGGGCGGTCGGGGGACACTGTGGCCCTGTCCAAAGTTACCCCCGGATAGAGCCAACCAGGCAGGATATAATCCCACCCACTTTGCCAAAGCACAACCCCCACACCACCATAGGAATATCAACAGACCACCAACTTACTACCCTGGGACAAGACGGAGTATAGCCCACAGAGATCTCCCCCACCACACGAGCCCGAGGGGGCGCAAGACCGGACAAGAAGATAACGTCAGTGACTCAACCCACTCAAGTCAAGTATAGCGAAAAAAGCCTGGCAAGATGTGATGCAACCTCCTAGGGACGGCATGGGAGAGCACTAGCAAGCCAGTGACTCAGCCCCCGTAATAGGGTCAGAGGCAGAGAATCCCAGTGGAGAGAGGAGAGCCGGCCAGGCAGAGACAGCAAGGGCGGTTCGTCACTCCAGTGCTTTGCCGTTCACCTTCACACCCCTGGGCCAGACTCTACTCAATCATAGGACCTACTGAAGAGATGAGTCTTCAGTAAAGACTTAAAGGTTGAGACCGAGTCTGCGTCTCCCACATAGATCAGTAGACCATTCCATAAAAATGTAGCTCTAAAGGACAAACCCCTGCCTCCAGCTGTTTGCTTAGAAATTCTAGGAACTTACCAATTGGATACCACAAAATTGGGAAGAAAAAGGGGGTAAAATACCAACAAAAAAAAATACATTCTAGGAACAATAAGGAGTCCTGTGTCTTGTGACCGTAGCGTACATGTACGTGATCTGGAGACTGGCTAGGCCACTCCAGGACCTTGAAATGCTTCTTACGAAGCCACTCCTTCGTTGCCCGGGCGGTGTGTTTGGGATCATTGTCATGCTGAAAGACCCAGGCACGTTTCATCTTCAATGCCCTTGCTGATGGAAGGAGGTTTTCACTCAAAATCTCACGATACATGGCCCCATTCATTCTTTCCTTTACACGGATCAGTCGTCCTGGTCCCTTTGCAGAAAAACAGCCCCAAAGCATGATGTTTCCACCCCCATGCTTCACAGTAGGTATGGTGTTCTTTGGATGCAACTCAGCATTCTTTGTCCTCCAAACACGACGAGTTGAGTTTTTACCAAAACGTTATATTTTGGTTTCATCTGACCATATGACATTCTCCCAATCCTCTTCTGGATCATCCAAATGCACTCTAGCAAACTTCAGACGGGCCTGGACATGTACTGGCTTAAGCAGGGGGACACGTCTTGCACTGCAGGATTTGAGTCCCTGGCGGCGTAGTGTGTTACTGATGGTAGGCTTTGTTACTTTGGTCCCAGCTCTCTGCAGGTCATTCACTAGGTCCCCCCGTGTGGTTCTGGGATTTTTGCTCACCGTTCTTGTGATCATTTTGACCCCACGGGGTGAGATCTTGCGTGGAGCCCCAGATCGAGGGAGATTATCAGTGGTCTTGTATGTCTTCCATTTCCTAATAATTGCTCCCACAGTTGATTTCTTCAAACCAAGCTGCTTACCTATTGCAGATTCAGTCTTCCCAGCCTGGTGCAGGTCTACAATTTTGTTTCTGGTGTCCTTTGACAGCTCTTTGGTCTTGGCCATAGTGGAGTTTGGAGTGTGACTGTTTGAGGTTGTGGACAGGTGTCTTTTATACTGATAACAAGTTCAAACAGGTGCCATTAATACAGGTAACGGGTGGAGGACAGAGGAGCCTCTTAAAGAAGAAGTTACAGGTCTGTGAGAGCCAGAAATCTTGCTTGTTTCTAGGTGACCAAATACTTATTTTCCACCATAATTTGCAAATAAATTCATAAAAAATCCTACAATGTGATTTTCTGGATTTTTTTTTCTCAATTTGTCTGTCATAGTTGACGTGTACCTATGATGAAAATTACAAGCCTCTCTCATCTTTTTAAGTGGGAGAACTTGCACAATTGGTGGCTGACTAAATACTTTTTTTCCCCACTGTATGTACGGCAGGAAAAAAATCGGAGAGATGGGTAGGAGGAAGTCCATGTAATGCTTTGTAGGTTAGCAGTAAAACTATGAAATCAGCCATAGCCTTAACAGGAAGCCAGGCTAGCACTGGAGTAATACGATACATTTTGGGGGTTCTTGTCAAGATTCTAGAAGCCATATTTAGCACTAGCTGAAGTGTATTTAGTGCTTTATCCGGGTAGCTGGAGAATAGAGCATTGCAGTAGTCTAATCTTGAAGTAAAAAAAAGCATGGGTTAGCTTTTTTGCATCATTTTTAGACAAAAGGTGGAAGTGGTTTAGCTTGTTAAAAAGATGGAAAAGATGGAAAAGCTGCTCTTTAAATATTTGTTTAATATGTTCATCGAAAGAGAGATCAGGGTCCAGAAAAACGCAGAGGTCCTTCACAGTTTTATTTGAGATGACTGTACAACCATCAAAATTATCTCTTTGTTTCTTGGGACCTAGAACTAGCATCTCTGTTTTGTCCAAGTTTAAAAGTAAAACATTTGCCACCATCCACTTCCTTATGTCTGAAACATAGGCTTCCAGAGTAGTCCATTTTGGGGCTTCATCATGTTTCATCAAATGTACAGCTGTATGTCCTCTGCATAGCAGTGAAAGTTGACATTGTGTTTCCGAATGAATCACCAAGAGGTAGCATATACAGTGCATTTGGAAAGTATTCAGACCCCTTGACTTTTTACACATTTTGTTACGTTACAGCCTTATTCTAAAATTGATTAAATAGTTGTTTCCCCTCATCAATCTACACACAATACCCCATAAGCAAAAACAGGTTTGTAGAGATTTTTGCAAATGTATAAAAAAAAATAAAGAAATTAATTATTACATTTATATAATTATTCAGACCCTTTACTCAGTACTTTGTTGAAGCACCTTTGGCAGCGTATACAGCCTCGAGTCTTCTTCGGTATGACGCTACAAGCTTGGCACACCTGTATTTGGGGAGTTTCTCCCATTCTTCTCAGCAGATCCTCTCAAGCTCTGTCAGGTTGGATGGGGAAGCATCACTGCACAGCTATTTTCAGGTCTCTCCAGAGATGTTTAATCGGGTTCAAGTCCGGGCTCTGGCTGGGCCACTCAAGGACATTCAGAGACTTGTCCCGACCCACTCCTGCATTGTCTAGACAACCTTGGCTGTGTGCTTAGGGTCATTGTCCTGTTGGAAGGTGAACCTTCGCCCCAGTCTGAGGTCCAGAGCACTCTGGAGCAGGTTTTCATCAAGGATCTTTCTGTACTTTGCCCCGCTCATCTTTCCCTCAATCCTGACAAGTCTCCCAGTCATTGCCGCTGAAAAACATCCCCACAGCATGATGCTGCCACCATCATGCTTCACCGTAGGGAGGGTGCCAGGTTTCCTCCAGACGTGATGCTTGGCATTCAGGCCAAAGAGTTCAATCTTGGTTTTATCAGACCAGAGAATATTGTTTCTCATGGTCTGAGAGTCCTTTAGGTGCCTTTTGGCAAACTCCATGCAGGCTGTCATGTGCCTTTTACTGAGGAGTGGCTTCCGTCTGGCCACTCTACCATAAAGGCCTGATTGGTGGAGTGCTGCAGAGATGGTTGTCCTTCTGGAAGGTTCTTCCATCTCCACAGAGGAACTCTGGAGCACTGTCAGAGTGACCATCGGGTTCTTGGTCACCTCCCTGACCAAGGCCCTTCTCCCCCGATTGCTCAGTTTGGCCGGGCGGCCAGCTCTAGGAAGAGTCTTGATGGTTCCAAACTTCTTCCATTTAAGAATGATGGAGACCACTTTGTTCTTGGGGACCTTCAATGCAGCAGACCTTTTTTGGTACCCTTCCCCAGATCTGCGTCTCGACACAATCCTGTCTCGGAGCTCTGCGGAC